TTTACCCCCCCCCCCTTTTTTTTTTGTCCAGCTCTCAACTAACACAAACTCCCCATTCTCACATACTTACTCGATATATATATATATATCTCAGTCTCAGCAACCACAAATACTGCAAACTTAACTTGTGCAGGTATTTCACAATTCACACACCAGTCCACGTTGCTCAATCATATTTCTGTACATTTACCCAGACACCCCCCACGCACACTAACTAATCTCACGCTAAGATATGACAGCAGCTTTTTTCCTCTTGAAGTATGTTGGGGCTGCTTCGTACAGCCAATCTGGGTCCACCACACTCAGTGTCCTGAAACAGTAAGAAGGTATGGATGTAGCGGGGAACACTGGGAAGCAATGGCGTGATTGTCATTCATATACAGTCTTGTCCTTGTAGAGTTGCAGTAGTCTACGAATATTTAGCGATACAATTACGGCTCATACTTTTTTGACCATCACCTTTTTTTTTTATATGAACAAGAGAATAGAAATGTGCTCAAAAACTAAAATACAAAAAATGTAAGTTAGTAATTGTTTTAAAGCTTGAACGGTTGTAGCACTTCATGCTTGGTAAGTTTAAAAAAAAAAAAAAAAAAAAAAAAAAAAAAAATTGCTATGTTTTCAGGAAGTCAAAAAACAAACAAAAAAACCTAAAATTGCTATGTGTTCAGGAAGTTAAAAAAAAACAACTAAAATAGCTATTTCTTCAGGAAGTTAAAAAAAAACAACTAAAATCGCTATTTGTTCAGGAAGTTTAAAAAAAAACAACTAAAATTGCTATTTGTTCAGGAAGTTAAAAAAAACAACTAAAATTGCTATTTGTTCAGGAAGTTACAAAACAACAACGTCTACACTAAGTGTGACTGACTAAGGCATATTTTGTTTAATTACCTCATGTAACACTTGGTGGTCTTGACCAGCTCTGTGTACACCACACAGGCTGGCTTACACTGGAACAAGGAGGATGATGGGTGGATGGACACCTTGGTCCTGTTGGCCATCTGACAATGACAGCAATGTTAAAGTGATTGGTCGGGTGGCGGATATTGAGCAAAAACTAAAAAGCTGGAACTTATGGTTCTAGCATGTAGTAGCATTGATGGCCATTCTGACAGCACGTTTTCAAGGATTCATTCATGATCTAACTTTTATCCTTGCATGCTGAAAAGTTCATTGCCATATCAATGGCCAACAATTGACAAAGCCTTTAATATTAAATTTTTATAAAAAGAACAAGAAATTCATTATTATTCAATATTTTTTACAATATTAAATAAATAATAACAATCACTGAATCACACAAAAAAATGGTAACGATGAT